GTTGGTGCTACCTAGCCAATCGAGGATTTACATGCACAGCCTTATGCGGTATTACTTTCTGTGATGCCATGTCACACGTAGTACCCAGTCTTCTCTACGGCTCGGGACTCCTTCCAAGAATTCTTTATAGGCCAAATAAGTACTTCACATGATCTTATTGTCACAGGGTTTCGCATTTGAAAGCTCCCGTAGATTACAGAGATAATTAATTAAATTAATTACCACCAGCTATAATCAAACCATTGACCTCGTCTGTGGAGGATTAGACGCCTAGACCACTAGGTTATGGGACTCTAACCCTATCTTTATTATATTAAATATTATATGAAATATTCAAAAAATTCTATTTAATCTTCCATAAAAAATTGATCAATTTTGCTTTGTTATATTTTCATTCTTTAGAATATTAATATATTCTTTTATATTTTTCTTCTGAATTAAAAATATATATATAGTCTGCAAACTTGTATTTGCTATGTTGGTACTAACCACAGAGATTTCAAAGCTATTATCTATATCTTTCAAGTTAGTAATAAGTAGATTATTAGTTCTAAATGTTTCAACAAGCTCTGTAATAATTTGATCATTTGAAGAAACTTTATAAACAATTTTTTCTTTGGCAATTTCCAAAAACTCATCAACTTGTATAGAGTTAAAGAGATCAAGAGCTTCAAGTCTATCTGCAATATTATTAAGCACAGAGTTTGTGGCTTGATGATAATCTTCCAAAGAACTTTGTAATAAAAGTTAGCATTTTTAAAAAGAATTTTTGTATAGTACTAACAATTTTAAATTGTATAGACATTAACTTTATTTAACTTTGAATGATATAATGGATAGCTTGTAACATATTCATTTTTAGATCTTTTGCTTTATTTTTTTTTTTAACTTTTTGTAGCATCCAACTTAAAAAATATAATAAGTGGAATCTCTGATATACTAATTCAAATTATACAAAAAAAATTTTTTTTAAAAAAAAAAAACTTACCAAACATAAAAGCAATGATAATGCCTCTTGAAGCTTATAATGACCCAATATTTATAGGCTGAATTCTCAAAGTGTATTTGGTGACAAGAATTGTATATCTGAATATTGGAGATTAACACTATCAATATTATAGCTAGAGCAGTTGTTAAAAAGCAAGAGCACACATTGACTATGATATCTAAGACCAACTTGACAATCAAATTCTTTAACTCATTCTTAAAAAAGAGATGTAATCATCTAAGCTTTAGCACTGTTTTTATAATTTGCAAGCAAATTACTAATATTAATATTCTTGAAACAGTGTGGTTTTTTATACAAAGGATTTAATTTATATGAACCGTTAGCATTCACACAAAGTGCAATTGAGAGGTATTCCTTAATTATTTTATACCCAGAAAAATATAGAGTTTCCAATGTTTTATTAGAATTCAATCTAAAGATAAATATTAATAATGTAAATAAAAAAATATATATATGAGTACTACTAAGAAAAACTATTCCTTCGAGCTTTAAAAGCCTAAAGAAACATTTTCTCTTAGCAGTACTCATATATATACATGTTGGCAAAATCCTAAATTACTATATTTGGAATTTGTTTGTACCTAAATCCCAAATTTATTTTAAATTAATTTTTCAAAAACTTTATTAATAATTTTTGTTTAAACAAATAGTAGATATTTTTATTGCTATAAATAACATATTTATAAAATATTAAGACTACTTTTTTGATTTAATCATTTACAAATAGCAATTGTTTTTTTTGAATTTGGGATTTGTTCGGTTTTGCTAGCAAGTATACTCATAGATACAAAATTTTTTTAAAATTTAAAATTTGATAGCAAAACAAATAAAAGCTTATCCCTTTGTTTGTAACATAGGCAAATTTGTTTGTGTTTTTTAAAATTTTTAATAAAAGCTTAAATATTAATTTTAGCTATATTTTTTCTAAATAAAAAATATATTTTTAGTTTAGTTTTAATAACTTTGTTATAAAATTTTTTTAAAATCTTTAGAAAATTTTAGTACAATTAAAATTTAAAGTTTTTGTATTAGAATTTTTACTATTAAAAATTTTTTTTGAGTTTTCTTAAATTTTATATATTTTCGCCTTTACAAAAAACTTTTACTTCTAATACAAGTTTTAATTTTTACAAATAAATTACTAAAAATGCAATAATGAAAGTTGCCATTTTCTATATAAGCTATAATATTGTATTAAGAACTATAGATTTAAAATTAAAACTAAATAAGATTGCAGAAAAATTGTAATAAAATTTTTTTTAAAAAAAATTATCTATTTTTAGCTTATATATAATATTAATTTTTTTTTCTTATAATATAAACTCTAATTTTGCAAAAAAGTAATCCTTATTTTTAAATATAATTGTACAAAGTTTTATTTAAATATTTTGGCATTCTAAAAAAGTAAATCAAAGCTAAAAAAGTGCAAAAATTGCTTGTATTTTACTACAATCTAAGGGATATAACATGTCTAAAATTGATGTAATTCACCAAAATAGTTAATTATAACCTATTTTAAAATTTCTGTCAATTCACCGAAACTTAGCTTTGGACCTTGCACCAAATTTTTGGCAATTCGCTAAAAAAAAAATATGATATATATCAGAGATATCTAGGGTCCTAGAGAGCCTCTATTGAAGTTTTCAGAAATATAGTGGTCAGTAATACAGTTGAAAAGCAAATCGAGCAAAGAAAAAATTATATTCAAGGACTTATTCCAAATAAAGTAGCCAATGAGCTCTTAAATCAGCAACTATCTAGAAGAGTTATAAACAAGGCAATATTGAAGTATAAGACAATTATTAAAAATGATTTTGCAATGAGATTTGGCAAAAGAGATATAGGTCTATAGTTGTATAGGAAAAAGCAAATGGTATAGTTCCTGTGATGAAACAAAGTAGATGTGAGAAGAATATCACACTCGGCAGCGAAAGTAGCACTGCGTCTAAAATACGGAGAAGCAAAATTAACAAAGATCAAAATAACGAAAGTGCTGCAGCAAATATTGAGAGAATGGCAAAGATAAAGCAGTTGTTTGAGGAGGGTGTTGTAAAATGGATTGAAAGTGAATTAACCCTATTTTGGTTTAGTTCTTGATAGAGCTGACAACATCTTCCGACTCACATGTAGGTTGGTGCAACAAGTCACATCTGGGTATATGATATGTAGCCAGGTGATGTCAGGTTTGCAATTTTAAATTAGTGATTATTAGAATAGCTTTAAACTTTGTTTTTAGTCTAATAGTTTTAATAATTTGTATTTGAGCTTCAACAAGACTGTCAAAGAATTAAAAAAAAAAAAAATTTTAATATAGGTTTAAAAATTAGCAAAAAATTAAAACTTAAATCTAGAAATACCAGGTTCTAAGAGTTGAAACCTAAAAATTAAAAAAAATTAAAAACTAGAACCTGAGCAATGCTGGGTTCTATGTGCTAGTTATATTTTATAATAGATATAATTGATTTAATTTATTAGTAATAAATTAAATCAATTATGTCTATTAAAAAATAATTAAAAGCCTAATACTCAGGTTTTTCTTTGGCAGCTTTTATTTATACATATTATTATTTCACCAATATGATGCTAGTTATTTATAATATTTTCTTATATATAAAATTAGTTTGAAAAATAAAGTTAAATTGATTTAAATCGATATAAATTAATAAAAATAATTTATGTTAATTTGTATATATTATTATGTTACCAATATGATACTAGTTGTTTATAATATTTTCTTATATATGAAATTGGTTAAAAAATAAAGTTAAATTGATTAAATTAATATAAATTGATACAGATTAAAAAATAGCAAATAAAAAGAGAATGAGTCCTATAATATCTCTTTTAAATTAGAAATAGTTACTACTTTTATATTCTAGAAACAAAAAAAGTAAATTAGAAGATATAAACTTCTAGATCAAATAAAAGAAAAAGAAAGTTGGACCACATCTACTAGCCTTAAATATTTTAAAGATTTGATAGTTCCAGAAAAAAAGCTAAAGAAAAAAAAGATAAAATAAAAATAGTATATCAAATTTTGATCAAAAACTAAGAAACACAACTCATAAAAGTATAATAGAAAATGGTAACAAACAACAAAAACTAGTACAAGCAGCAAAAGTAAATCAAGTTTTTAAAGAATTAACTTTTTACACAGATAGCTCATTTAGAAAAGAAAGTATAGAAGATTATAAAGCAGAATATAGGATAATTCAAATAAATAAAAAGAGTAATATAGTAAAAGAGATTAAAGGTAGAATTCAAGAGTAGTTTTTTTTAACTAGATTTAAACTTATAGCAATTTTAGATGTACTATTAATTTTACTAAGTAACTTCAAAATAAATATTTTTACAGATAGTCAAGCAGCAATCCAAGCAATAAATAGAATTCAAAAAATTAAAAGTACAAGAATGTAGTGCAAGATCAAAAATCCGAGTATTCTAGGAGCTATTGCCAAGAACCTAAGTACTAAAAATTTGGATATATACCTCTTTAAAGTCAAAGCATATATAGATAATATATTAAATGATCTAGCAAATAGGGTAGCAAAAAAAGTACAAAAGAAGCTGAAACAATTATAATTAATATGAACAAATTTTAGGGAACTGTATTTAAACTAGTATAGAAAAATACAGTAATTAAAACTTCAATTCGTAGCTTTCTGAAGAAATTTATACACATGTTCTGTAAGGTCAAATGGCTATTAATAAATAACTTCAAAACCACAATTTATTTAAGCAGACAAGTAAAACAAAACTGAAAAATTTTTAGAAATCTGTAGAACAAAGAGAAAAAAAAAGATCTTTTAGAACAAATAAGAAATAGAGTTTTAGACTTAAAAGCTTAAATAGTTTGCTTTTAACACTTTATATTAGCTCTTTATAGGAAATATAAAAAAGAAAAAAAAACTTTAATCATCTAGTTACTTGCGAAGCTAATAAGAACAAGTGGCAAAACAAAGAGCAAACAATTGCAAAAAAAATTTGAACCAATCTAGATATGTATTCAAGGAAGAAGCTTTCTGGATATTCTTAACTAAGCTCTTGCAGATAAAAGAAAGAAAGCACAAATATATAAAAGAAGAGAAATGACAAGAGAGTTAATTGAAGCAGATTTACTAATGATATTTAAATCAAGAAGTGTCTCAAACTGAATTTCCAAAACAATAATATTTAAATAGTAGAATAAGTGGCATATATTTTTTCAATAAGTAATTTGGCTTCAAAGATGTATTGAAATAGTATTCTGAGAAAAAGAACTGCATATAGACTCTAGGGAAAAAAGAAAAAGAGAAAAGCTTTAATAGATTACAAACCAGGAAGAAAACAGAGAATCAAATATGAAAATTTACTCTTAATAGATGAGATAAAGAGAAAAAGTGATAAACTATCTTGGTAGAACAATTATAAACAGTGTTCAAAATTAGTGTTCTCAGAGTTCTCATGAGAACATGTTTATAAGTTTGTGACAGTAAAAATAGTTTACTGTTCACTATTAAAAATTTTTTGAAAACAGTAAAATAAAAATAGTGTTCTTATAAGTGGTAGAATAAGGACACTTCAAGAACACGGAACCCACCCAGTGATCATTATACACAAGTGAAATCATGCAATAACGTTATTTGTTTACTAGCACTAAATAATTAGCCTAAACTATCCTATCATCATTAACCTTAACTTAGGCTGAAAACTTACTATATAATACGCAGGGTGTTATTCTGAATAATGGCTCGATTTAAGCTTAATTTAGGTCAAAATTCGAAATCACACCCCTGCAAGTTATTTCACACTTATATAATACTCATGTAGTGAAATGACTATGATAATATCACTGGGTTTCTTAATCTTGAAACTACTTGATAGATAAATAAAATAATACTTAGATAATAAAGGTTATATTATTAAGTAGTTAGTATATAGTTTTTTTTTTTTTTTTTTTTTAATAAGTATAAGTGAGAATATAAACAGCAAATCAAGAACACTTATAGTTATTATACTATTCTTATGAGAACAGTAATTAAGCCTGAAATTTCGAACACTGATTATAAATACAGACTAAATATAGTAATAGAAAAGATAAATAATTGAGTTTAGACTAGTAAATAGTCCAAGTGAAATAAAAATTAAAAAAGATCATGACAGACTATAAATTCTGGTTAATGAACTGTGAATTCATTATCTGAGATAGATAAAAAAGAAGTAGTAAAGCTGATTCTACTTTGGCAGATTATACATAAGTACCAATAGACAACCAAATAAGTCACACTTTAGTTTGAAAAATAGTATAACTATAATAGAAATCATAATTTGTTGAAAATGAAAATCTATATTAAAAATAAAGTTGTAACAATTATCAAAAAAAAATGAATTATTATAAAATGCATCTATGGTGGTTTAGCACCTTTATAATTGCTTCTAGTAAAATTTAGGATTAGGATTAGAAAATTAAGAATTATTATTTTTATATATAATATATATAATATAAAGCTAATATAAGGACCTAATAGAGCCTAATCTTAGTTTTTATAAGGTTTTTGGGGGTCCTGAACATTTTTACTTAGAGAATCTATTTCTGTTTACTTAATACATTTTTGAGAAACAAAATTTATGTATAAAACACCATAGGTGCATTTTAGTAAAAGTCAAAAAAATAATAATAATGTATAATACAAATATTTTATTAGATAATCAAGATTACAAATTAATTACAATATGCTGTTTGTATTTACAAAATTGGTTTGATACAGAATAGTAAAGGCTTTTAATACAATTTTGAATATTATTATACTAAAGACTATTATCTTTTTTTTTTTTTTTTAAATGATGACCTTATTGACTATATTAATATTTGTATTTATTAAAGATTTTTGTTTCTGCTACAATATAAGTATATCAAACCATATGTATGCTTTTGGTGTCTCTAAAGACTATTATCTTTGCATATTTTTTTTAATATTTTAATAAAACTTTATTTTGTAATAAGTATATTAGAGCTTTATTTATAGATTTAGCAATATATTTTTTAATAAAATTTGTTATATAAAGTCCTTTTCAATATTTAAATTTGAATAGTAAAATTAGAAAATATAATTAGAAATAATTACTTGCATACAAATAAATTTCAAAGCACCTCTTATGTTACTTATAAATTTATTAAGTTTATTATTAAACTTAGAAATTCTTTATCTTTGCTATCTATTAAACTTAAAAAAACTTTTTTTTTTAACAAGTCTGCTTATAGCTAAAAAATTGCTTTCTTTTTTTTTTTTAACAAGTTTACTTGTTTACTTATAGCTAAAGAAATTTTTTCTCTTTTCTTTTTAACAAGTTTATTTGTAGCTAAAAAATTTGGCTACCTATTTTATTTTGAACTTTAAAGTTGTTAAAAAGCTTGCTTAAATCTAAAAAAAAATTTATATTTATTTGTATAACCAACTTTATTGTTGCTTAAATAACTGTAAGTTTACTAAAAATTCTGTAAATAATATATAAATATTATGAAAATAATAATCATATACTTAGTGCAATTAGCTTATTATAAGTGCTTTTCTTTAAATAAGTCTTACAAACTTAAATGCAATTAATATAGTATTTAAGAAAAAATTTTAAATATAGTTTTTTTTATTTAATTATATAAATTAAAATAATTCTGCAAAAATTTTGTAATTGGCCAGAATTATGTAAAGTTTGCTAGTATTATAATCTGCAAATTCTGGCCAAATTTATATTAGCTGGTATTATAATAAAAATTTAAAAAATAATCTGAACTAATTAGAGTTAGAAATTTTTAGCAATTTTTGAATATGTGTGTGGCATATTAATTAGCCCAAGTAATTTGCACCAATTATAACAATACTGTAGTAAAATTATAAATTTATATATAGTAGAATGAAAACATTATTCTAATCAAATCAAATATTCTTGTTATTTTTTAAAAAATACTTTTTTATAATCTTTGCTTCTAATATTATTGTTTGAATTCAAATAAATATTCGTATTTATTTTATAATTTTTAGACTAGAATGATGACAATTTGTCAAAATTTTAATATACTATATGTATAAAAAATATTGACTTTAAAAAAGTAAGATAATAAATTTCAAATAAAGAAATATTTTAGCTAATAAACAGATACTATAGTTTATAAAAAAAAATTCTTTAAATAAAAAAAGCTTTTTTTATAATCTATACTAAATCTTATTTTTTATAAAAAAATAATAGTAATGTTTCTTATTTTTAAAACTAAATTTTATAAGCTTACATCCTTCTGAAATTACTCTACTATACTTTACTTACATATTACTGTAAATTAAACTAAAATTTAAAAATTATAATAGTTCTGTATAGAGAAAGTTGACTACATTCATATTTCTGTTATATCTTCAATTTATATAAAAAAAATTTCAAAATACGATCTGGTCTGGTCTGCTCTGACTATACAACGCTTTCAATTTTGTGATACAATAAATAGCTAAAAATGGATTTTGTTAGCTAATACAAAAATCGTGTTTCACCCAAACTTAGATCGCGTTAAAAACGACCACTAATTTTTTTTCATAGAGCTACGCTGATTGGCTAAAATTTAAAGTAATCAAAGAGATTGCTCACTCATTAATTATTTTTTTATCTTCAGCGAAGCCGTTATCGATATCAAAAAATTATTATACTGTTCTTTATACTAGAAACTCTTATAGTAAATAAAAAAAAGCAAAATTAATACGCAAAGAGCAAACACTTTCTATCTTCTAGTTGTTTTAACCTATGTCATTTATTATAAATTATTTTACATACATTAAAGAGTTCGTATAAATTGTGTATACCTATTATTGTAGCCAAATATGGCTGTTGCGATAAGTTATTTGCAAAATTGTTAAGAGGATAAGTCGAAGGAAAACTTTTATGAATTAAAATTTAAGATGCCAAGTTTTGGTACTAAAGTTTTTAGGTAATTGGTAATCGTCGTTTTTTTTTTCTTTTTTTTTTTTTTTGGAATAATCGATTGAAAGATAAAAAGAGATAGCTCAAACATCGATCGTCATCTTTGTATCAATTGATTGTAATGTTTGAGCGTCATCTCAATCACTAGCCAATTACATTGAGATAGTGCTTGAGAACAACCAACATTAATCGCACAAATTTATTTACTATTACGTTATTATTTAATAAACCCAACTTTAAATCCATTATCTACATACAAGTACTCTAATTTCAGATTTTATGCACATCATATAAAACTCTAGAACTTTTATATATAATTTTGAGTCACTATGATCCTAATCTTATAGGTTTTTCACTACATCGATAATTCACTTTAACGAGAAATGTATATATTATATTTGGGAATTTAACTATACTAGTGTCCCTTAAACCGTCCCATTACCATTATGCTTGAAATATGTTGCTCGATAGACCAACACGAATTCGTGATAGATTTGCCTGCAAGACGGTTTAAGGAATTGTAAATTTAAATTTAATTTACAGTATACTAGCTATATAAACATAGCACTGGCTTATCATTTATAAAAATAGTATAGTAGAATTTAAAAATCAGTAGTTATTGAAATATTTTTCACGTACGTACGTATTTAACTGCTAACAATTATGTAACGCGTAAAAAAAAAAAAAGAAAAAAAGAGGATGTTTCATAAAACTATTAATGATTTCATTTTACATCATAAACATTACCGTTACATTAAAAATAATTACGACATTTTTTCATAATAAATGAAATCATATTCGAACTAATTCACGAGTGTGTAAATATTTAAATGGTGGCAATTTGCAAAAATATTTAACAAGCACCTTTGTTCTTATTTTATTTTTTTCAACAACAACAACTAAGAACATACCAAAAAAAAAAAAAAAAAGACAAAATGCCTCAACTTGAAGAAGTAACCATCGAAAATTTAAACACTCAAATTAAATCAGTTTTCGAATCAGGGCCCAAGGGTCAACCTCCGAACGTCTTAAATTCTTTGAAACGTGATCACGATTTATTTAAATCACTTCACCAAGAATTTAACACCGCAAGTACTACGAACCAACGAGAACGAATTGCCAAAGAGATAATGAAAGGCATAGGTATTCATGATAAGATCGAACAACTAGTTTTTTATCCGGCCTTGAAAGATTGTGGAATGGAAATCGGAAATAATTATGTTAAACAAAGCTTGCTTCATGATAATGTTAAATCTTCGTTGTATGAGCTGAATTCCCTGCTTGAGGACGAGGGGGTCGATTCGCTGATGTTTAAAAATTTCTTAAATAAGACGATGACGGTTTGTGTATTCATGCTTTTTTTATTATTATTATCATTAGGTTATTTTTTTTTCTATATTATTATTAATCACTAGATATGAAAAATGTAGGATTTCGTTGCACATGCTGAAGTGGAAGAACACGAAATTTTCATATTTTGCCAAAAAATATTTGATGCAAAAAAAAATCGAGGAGCTTGGTAAAGAGTTGGACGAAATGCGTAAGATGGGTAAGTCTTGTTTCATTAATAGACTTTTTTTATCATAATAATAAATAGCACATTCGCTCATATATTAATTTTTTGTTAGGTGTTACGATGATGAAAGCAAGAGATGAAGTAGAGGAAGCAATGGAGGCAGAAACAGAAGTAGCAGTTGAATAATGGTAAAAGGGAATAGTACAAGTCAAAGATTTGACTTTTTCTTTAATTTCTTGCGAGAATTTACGTATTGTAAGAAAAATTTTATACTACAGAATTTCGTGTATTTTACACCTTAACGTTAAGCGTGTTGGATTTTTTATTATCATGAAATGTAATTTCTTTATATATTAAAGAATTAGTGATGCGTGAATAAATTCTGGATAATTGTCATATGTTAAGTGAATTTTTTAGTGAATAATGTACATACTGTACATACTGTATGTACTGTACGTACGTACATAACTTTTTTAAAAAATTTTGAATGCATTCTACAAATCATATTTTCAAGTGATAACGAGTCTTCAAGGGAAATGACTCTTAAGACTGTTTCAGTTTAGTTAATATGTACAGTATTTACGCAATAGCGTGTTTGTTAACAGTTAAAAAGACAAAAAATTTGAGATAATAAAATTTTAATTTTAATTTTTTCTAATTTCTAAATATTTCCAAAAACCTAATCATACAATTCTCCACTGTGAGCATAATTGTAAAATGAATTTAAAAATATCATATGTATATTTACAACTTCATTCAGAAGCGACGGATTTCTTTAAGTCTGATAACATTCTTTTTCGCCATTGATCATAACATTGTGTATGAGATTTTCCGTCAACATCTCCAGAAATTTCTTTCCAATCCAAAGGGGATGGTAATCGTTTAATAATTGCTTCAAATAACTGCATTCTTTGGTCTGTGGTCCATGCTATTTAAATCGATAAGAATTAGGATTAGAAAATTATAGTTATGATGACTTTTCGTTAAAAAAAAAAAAACGAATGAATTACCAGACTTATTGGATTTCTTCTTATTTTCTGAATTACCAATGTCTGCTTCACTCAATAAATCCGACATTATAGAATTTTGAGCATTCATCGATTCTCCAGTGTCAGCATCCATACTTTTAATGTTTTCTTCGATTTTCTCTGATTTGCGACGACGTTTTACACTTACTTTGTCCATCTTTCCCAAAATTTAAAATTGTACAATATTTAACATTAACAATATTCAACAAATTGCATTTTCTTGTTCAATAATTTATTCAATCATTTACCTTTTTGGTTCGAATTCAATGTATTTTGGCGAGCAGGGATTATTAATAAAATTAATAAAAAGGATGGACGTCAAAAGGAAGAAATTGGAGAGTTGACATTTTAAGGATTCCGTTAATCATGTAGTCAAATTGAATTCTTTCATGTCATTCTAACGCTAAAAGTAGAAATCGGATGATGCTTATCATCCTTCACATCATTTTTAATATATCAAAGAGTTAAAAGCCTTTTGTAATCAAGATTGCTTTAAATCAGACGTTTCACATAATGCATAATACCTAGTTGCAATAGTAAACTATTGATATCGAAAAATGTCGACGATTTTGCATCTCATGTTTCATGTTTTATAATAATTATACCGAAGCTTGTTTTACACGTAACTAAAGTGACCAGATCCTTCTGTTCAATTTAATCTTTCCATTTTTCTTAGCTTTATTTCAGTCATTATTAATGTTTCCATTTATCTTAGCTTCATTTAATTCAGTTGCTATTAATGATAAAAAAAAAAAAGCCGATCAATCAATCATAACATTAATTCCGAAATGTAAATGCAGAAATCATAATATTACTTGATCAAATACTGTATGGAATTTTGCTTCGCCGTTTCGTAGGGTGACAGTTGGTGTCATAGCATCGTACTACTATTCTCTTCTCTTTCCTCTCTATTATTATCATTTTTCCATTTGCAACGTTTGATATCCAAATGATCAGCTAGGCTATCTACCCGTGGTGTCAAATTTCTTCTTACAGATGAATGGGTGATAACGAAAAGCTGAACTTGTAGCAAAGACAGAAGATACAAAAGGTGAAAAAATAATTTCCTTTCTTTTCGCTTATTTAGAAATTTTTACCACCAGTGACAGGATTGAGATAAACTTGTACCCAATCTTTTCTATGTTTCCGATTCTATTTTCAGCATAAAGTTTCTGAATCTGACTTCAGTTCTTACCGATTAACTCTAGTGATGTATCCCAAACTCCATCTTACGGATACGGCAACTTTTGATCGGGATTTTGGATTACAATATATTAGTCAAATGATGAAAATTTTTTCATCAGAGTTAATGTCAATTTCATATGGCGGTAAATATAATTGTTATTTGGGACTTTATAACGGCAAATCCCAGACTAAGTTTCGACAATTTGGGGATTCGGCAGATGACGAAACTATCGGGTTTGGGTGACACCACTAATAGTGCCTTGAGTTTTTATGATTCAAGCTTATGATTTCATAGTCGCATTCGATTGAAGACTAGGTTAATTATTTGTTCATAGCTATCATGTGATCATTATGTTTCACGTGTGTGGACGTTACGTTATTTAAGTTTAATTTATTATTATTAATTATTTTTTTAACATCGTTATAAGTTTGTTTCCTTGTTTTTCCTGCTTATTGTTCTAGGTAAACTGGTAAGTCTATTATAATTATAAATCGTAATTGTAATCGTATTTATTATAGTAATAGTAATAGTACTCGTAAAATTTTATTTTTTTCAAAAATCATTAAAATACATTAAAACATCAAAATTTTTACATTTTTTAAGTGTCTCATCCTATATTTATTAACTATTGTAATTTTTTACATTTTTTTTTATTTTTTTTTGCCGGATTTTTTGGGCAGATGAATTGATAATCACGAACATTAAAGACCACAAAGCGAAAGAATTTGTCAATCCTTTGAGATTTATCCAATACAATCTATGTTTTTCTGAAATTTTCCTTGCATCCTATACAGCCCTCTGTAGCTCATGTTAGTATGAAAAGACCGTATTATAAAACTATTCACAAAGAATTACTCAATATTGAAAAATATAGTACAATATTTATGAGATTACCTTTTAATCGATCAATACTTTTTCTCTTTTCTAGGGTGTTGCAAGCAGCACGTGCGATGTGATTGAGATAGTACAGTACACAACCATTAATTAGACAATTTTTGAGAGCTGATAGTATCGATGTTGAAGACCGATAGTATGGATGATAATATGATTGAAATATCCTTACGTATTTTCCTCAATATTTATAATCGTATTAGTGCTTAAGTATTATGATTAATTAAAATATTGATACTTGAGCAAGCGTCATTATTATTAAGCGATTATTGTTTTTATAATTCGAATAAAAAAGAAAAAAAACCCCCAAATAAAATAAAATAATGAAAACGATGGATCAATGAATTTACGACACTTCTAAATTCTTTTTCAGAATTTACTACGCAAAAACATGCTTTTTTTTTATTTTGTAGAAAGATTTTTAGCATTAATAATTCGTCGACGTTGGCAATAATTTGAGTTCCATAACGATAATGTGAAATCTATATCGATATAATATTACAATGTCACGATCGTACGTATATGAAAACTTTGATCATCATATTATCAGTAGTGATGCGAACTGCTCAGCCGAGCCGCGAGCCGAACGGCTAAACCGAGCCGATAAACGGCTCGACTCAAACTTTAGAGCCTATCGTGGAGCTGCGAGCCAATAGGTTTATATCATATTACTATTACCGTATAAGCACGAATAACATCTGCGCATTATTTTGAATACGCCCATGTGCGTTATTTCGAAATAAGAGAGGATTTTCTAAATTCAATATAGTCAACTTCAATAAATGCACGTTGTTGGGTAATAAAATATTCATTATGGAGAATAATCTACATATAATATTGAATAATTACATTAGACCGATAAAATTATACGTATGCATTTATTATAGGGAAAGAGCATGTGGAGGTGCACTTATAGAGTATCAACTGTATATCTATCGCAAAAGTAAATTATGTACTACATTAGCGTTAGGATGCGCGTTAATTAGCCAATAATCAACTCATGACTAGTGAGTGATATGGGTCGATGAAAAAATCATGGACCGGGTCGATCCCAAAAAAGCTCGGGCCGGTCGACCGGGCCGAACTTTAAGAATTGGTCTCGATACTATATCAAACGTGTAGAAAGCCATCAGGTAGTTCCTTGCCAAATTCTAGTATACTAAAATCATTTACTTTTATAACGCTGTTGATTAATTGTTCTATGCACCTGAACATGTCAGGTATTTCCATTTCTTATATCAGTTATTTGCTTATTTATAATCTAAATTAGACAACTAATGAATGTCTACATTTTTATAAATGATTAGTTGATTAGCCAATTTTTTAGCCAGTATAAGAGAATCGATTCTAGCATTTCTTTATCGACCCGTCCGTCGGCCCGGTCATTGGCCGGGGCCAGCCCGTACCACTAATTATGACTTCAATGACATTTTGACAATTTATTTAATTGTTCGGATAAAGTTTTACCAAACCACCTTTAAAAACCTAATGTTTCAAGTATATAGAAAATTATCCGAAATTACTATAAATTAATTAGAAACTTTAGCGTTTATATTTTACTATATTCTACTTAAAAAACATCTATAAGTGAAGTATACCTACATAGAGTAGTACTTGAAGCTTCATCTGTGAAGAACTTCTACTGTACATTATTATAAATTATGGTTATATTTTTGTAAAAAAAAAAAGATTTACCACATAAATTCAATTGCATAAAGTTGAGTTAACCTATATATTAGAGTAACGGCTCGGCACGGCTTGAGGTTGATCGGCTTGTAAACGGCTCAGCTCTGCTTGATGAGCTGAAATATCGGCTCGGTTAGACCAGTGTTAGCCGCGAGCCGAGCCGAGCCATTCGCATCACTAATTATCAGGGTACGTAATAGATACTCGTGACTAAGCTTGTTGGTGAAACTAATTTTCAATGGTGCACCAGATGGTGCAATGTTGGTGTACCGTTTTTTGGTGAAACTAGTGTACTGATAGTTATAGAAAAAAACAATTTTCAATGGTGCACCAGATGGTGCAATGTTGGTACACCGTTTTTTGGTGAAACTAATTAGTTTCACCAACAAGCTTACTCGTGACACGCGATTTAACTTTGTTTATACGGTTATCAAATTCTCTAGAAAGTAACAAAATGAAAGCCATCGTAATAAGCAAATTACTAGAAGCCATCGATGAACTTGAAGTTGATCAGAATGCGCCCGAGCCTGAGTTGAAAGAAAATCAAGTTTTAATCGAGATTAAAGCATCCGCTCTTAATTATTTTGACATTTTACAGGTAATAAACGTTCTTTTTTTAAATTTTGATTTAACGATAACAAAGAGAAAACCTTGAAATACATTAGAATTTTCACTTTAAATAAGTTAAATTTTCTTCTTTATAACACTATTTTTGGCCTTTGTTTCGTCACACGGCTTGGAAGTCCATAAAAGACTAAATCCTATCAAGTGAAAAATCAGAAAATTAGAATTTCTGATTAGGATGATGAGCTCTGTCCAGAAAAGTTTACTGATTAGTCATTCCGTTTTTAATTGACTACACAGAGCCAAGAAAGATATCAAATTAAGCCATCACTCCCTTTCATACTGGGTTCTGAAGTACGTTCTTTTATTTAAATGGCACTTTTTTTAATTATAAGTATATTTGAATTTTAGATAATGAAAAAAATGTGCGTTGATTTCTCCCCTTTATAATCATCAAATACATTCTATTTGTGTTTTCATATTTTCAAATTTTAGTTTGCAGGTGTAATTATTGCTGTTCATCCTACGGTTAATAATAAATACAAACCTGGTGATAAAATTTTTGGATATGGTCAAGGATCTTTTGCTGAACGCATTGCTATAGATATTCAAGCCATTCTTCTGATACCTGATGGTATGAGCTTCGAAGAAGCTTCAGGATTATTTATCACTTGTCCTACAAGTTACACTGCATTAGTAATTAGAGCAAAGTTACAAAAAGGTAGATGTGATTTTTTTTTTTGTCAGAATCTAATTAAAGAATAGAATTATTTTAATTTTACGTTTTTAAATTAATAGATGAATGGTGTCTTGTTCATGCTGCAGCGGGAGGTGTTGGTATAGCTGCCGTTCAAATTGCAAAGGTGAATTATTCTAAGTTTATTTTTGATATTAATTAATTTCATAATCATTTTCTAAAAAAAAAATTTTTTACATAATCATAAATATAATAAGGCGCTCGGTGCCAAAGTAATTGCTACTTGTGGTTCAAATGATAAACTAGCTTTTGCTAAAAAATTTGGTGCTGATTATGGTGTTAATTATAATGATAAAGACTGGCAAAAACAAGTATTACAAATTACTGGTAAACGTGGAGTAGACGTCGTTTTTGATCCTGTCGGATTAGTTCAAGCATCTCTTAAATTCATAGGTATTTAAATAATTTAAATATTCATTTAAATTTAAATAGGCTATTTTTTTTTTCATTATCTTCTTTTTGCGCACACATTTTCATTTTTGCTCATTAATAGCATGGAGTGGTCGCATACTCGTAGTTGGATTCGCCGGCATTGGTAATAGTTTTGAAAAGGTCCCTACTAACTTGATTTTACTTTAAAACACCTTAATTATTGGTGTAATTGGTATACTTTATGGTACATATACAAAATATGACCCTGAACGTGTTATAGAAGTTTGGAATGGTTTATTTAAGTTATTTGCTGAAAAAAAATTAAAGCCTGTCATTTATAAAAATGTTTATCATGGATTACATAACGTTAAATATGGATTAAAAGCTATTGCGAATAGAGAAACTTATGGTAAAGTTGTTGTCATACCTAATGTAGGAAGAGATAGCAAAATTTGACATATTTAAATATTTATGGTACTGTAATTAAATAGTTGAAATAATCTAAATTTGACAATTACGTGTTAAAAAAAGTAACTTATTATTTATAAAGAGAAAATGATACATACTTTTAATCGATATAATGATGTCATATTTATACATGGGTGCCTAAATTATTTTTGAAAAATCGTATTTTCGGCAAACATTTCGGCATTGCAAAATTTTTATTTGAAACCCTTCGTTATAACTATATTATATGATGTGCTTTGATGAAAAGAGTTCAAAAAATTTAGGCGCAAATATGAAAATTAATTTCGGCACTATATAAGACTAATTTTGGCTACCTAAATGCCGTAATTACTTTTTATTAGGATGGGCAATTTAGGCACCCTTGTATAGTAATATTTGGCTTATTATTATTATTATTATTATTATTTGAATCTACAAGAAGTTCTATATACTGTGATATTTCAACTTTAGCTTTTGGTTTTATTTGTATAGTATAAGTTGTATTTATAAAATAAATTTTATTAGTCTTATAGTATTTTTGAAAAATATCTTATATAACTTTATTTTACTATAAATTTAAGATCATTTCTAATTAAAAAGTTAGTATAGTATTATTGTAAAATATTTTGTTATTAAGGGTGATTGACAAGTTCAGATTAAGAAAAAAAGGTGGTGAATTGACCTCAGAACAAATGGTAAAAATATAGGGAATATTAAAAAAGTTTTTATATTTAACTGAGAAAGTTAAAGCCAAGTTATAATGATAATAATCACATTCATTAGCCAAAAAGGCGGCGTAGGAAAATCTACTTTAAGCCAAGCCCTAGCAGTAGAAGCCAAGAAACAGAAAATAAAAGTTTTGTTGGCCGACTGTGATATTCAGCAAACCACCAGCCATGAGTGAAGCAAAATTAAAGGCAAAGTCCCTTGTCAAATATTTAAGCAGGTAAAAGATATTTGACCTTTAAGTAAAAATTATGATCTAATAATCATTGATGGTCCTGCTCGAACTAGCATGGGAACTTTGGAAATTGCCAAAAAAGCTGATTTGCTTATTTTTTTAATTTAAAATTATTATTATCAAAATACAGAAAAATTCATGTAAAATGCTTTTTACTTTTTTACAATATTTAATTCAAGTTTATTATTAATATAAAGTGCTTTAGCTATTTCACTTTTCTATTTAATTCAAGTTTATTTCTATTAAAATTTAAAAAGATTAATATAGTGTTGTTTAAAATGCTTTGGCTATTTTTTTTTTTATATTTAATATTATATAAATTTTTTTTTTTTTTAGTAGCTACTTCCCTAACCTCTCTCCATATTAAGTGGGTTTTGGGATATGCAACCTACCTTAAGACTACTTTATCCTTGAGGTAAAACTGCTAAAGCAGTACATGTCATACTTATATATTTATTTAGTTTTTAGCAACTTATACTATATTATTATCTAATACTTGAAGTCAGGACCAACCATTAAACCTTTACTTTTGCCTACTTTTGCCCTTGCACGATTTGCTATTTAGACCTCGGTATCTACTTCTCATTATCTTTATAAACTGTACTCTTATTTTTCTTAAACTTTTAATCTAGCTGGCCTGGTAGAGTTGGTCTGCTCAGGCTTTAGATACCTTATAGTCTTCCTTCTCTTGGTATACACTTTTAGAGTACATGTTTTTTCTTTGGTATGATTCTGGTAACCAGATTGGTAAATCTTCTCTTTAAAATTTCTTGTTTAATAAGTAATTTAGTAATCTGTTTACAACAAAGGCTTGCTTATAGAAAAATTATTCGATCTGATTTTCAATACAAAGTTATATACAGTGCTTTTGATAAGATCGTAGCTTTACCTAACTGGCTATGTTGTTTTCTTGTATTTCATTATTTATCTGGAATGTAGTATAAAATGATAAAATGATCATGACAATCCAATCTTTAATTAGCCAATTTGAATACAGTATTCTCCATATTCTTTATAAGTAAGATCCCAAAGCTAAAAGGTAAATTTAGAGATATGTTAGTTGTTATAAACCTATTATAATTAATTTTAATAAAAAATTTTATTCAAGGTATGTACTTGCCTAAATACAGAAGTATAATATCGGTTATAAGAACAAACGAATCTTTGGAACAAGAATATTATAGAAGAAAATGAATGTGAGTCACGTTTGTAGAAGCCCAATATATATCAACAATCACAACAAACAAAATTTTATATTTTTGCTGGTTTCTACTTTAGAATGCCATTTCTTGAAAAAATTTTTATCCTTTTTTTTTAGTTTATCAGTTTTACTTTATATCTTATCAACGTATCAATAATCTGATGAGCGTTCGGGTTTTTGAAAGCTCGAAAAAGAAATAGTTTAATATTTAAATGAAAATTTGAAATCCGTTAATTCAAATTGACACGGGTCATTTGTGAATCAAATGAATACGTGATTTTGTAATCGGTATATATGAGTTTTAACGATTAATTAAAACTTGTTTATATTAACAATATTTAGATTCAGCGATGAAAACAAAAATTAAATGCTAAAAAAAAAATTTAGATCTTCAATTTTTATTTTATTTTATTTTATTTTTTAAAAAAAGGTTATTACATGAAATAAGCCGTTTAAAAAAATTATTACAATTGACAAAATTCATTCACATCATCTTGGAAATAAGGATATAATTATATAACTAGTCTAGCAACAGTACTAGTTTTTCTAAGCATTGAATAATTCGTTCTGTATATTAAATCATTGCTAATATGTAAAACTTCATTAAATAAACAAATATTCTATTCCATCGCTATTTAAATTGAAATTTTTGTTTTAAGATTGAGTTGGGTGCATATCCTTTTTTAAATACTTGCTTGCATTGACGAAAGCGATACTTTTTACAAGGCAATTATTTTGTCCGCTTCACTTTATTGATATTAGAATATGAATATTTAAATTCTATTTGTTCAAGATATTCACAATCCAAAGAAGTAAATATTTAAATTATCTTGATTGTTAAATAAGAAAAAACTCTGACAATACTTAAAAAATAAACTGTCAATGATTATTTATTTATTTATTTTGCTAATGTGAACGATACGTAATTAATTACGGTTGCTTTGCAGTATTTATGAATAGTATCAGTAAGTGATGTAGTCATTCGAATCAATTCCAAATTGATGGGATCAAACGACGCATAACATTGTAATTTTATCATTTATAATCACTTTTAATTTGGCAATATTGTAACTGGGATTTCATATGTGTTTATAAAAAAAAAAAAGATTTTTATATTTATTTCAAATCTAAAAATCATTATTTTTGATCTGATTTGTTAAAGCATTATACTTACTACAAATAACTTATAATTATGTTTTCCTGGGTACATAAGCATCTTATGGCTTTATTTATCAATTTAATAAACACTCTATCGCTAGCACCTAGTTTTGAATTCTATAAATTAATATGCTGCGTATTGGTGAAATTATTCCCACGTATTTCTGCGAATTCAATTTGACAGAGTTTCTTCTGATTAGGGATGGTTTAAACAGTTTTTTAAACATTTTTTATTATTTTAAAATTTTTTTTAAAACATTGAGTCTTGAGATAAAATTTCGCTGAAACTGAAAATATTGCTTTTGATTAATTATTAATTTAATTTCAGCTGAGAAATTTTTTTAAAAAAAGACGCTGCCATATAATTTTGAATTGGATAAATCTAGACAGTGCCCCATGCACTTTGTGCCCCTAGCAAAAATTTAGCCTATAGTAAAAATTAAAATTAGATTAAAGTTAACAAAAATGTGTAAAATTGCAAGAGGAACATTTTTTCTTAGTTACACAAAAGGGATTACCCTAGTAAAATTTTGAGATATTGGTGATTTTATGATTTTAGGTTAGGGGTTAGGTTAAGGTTAGGTTAGGGTTAGAATTTAGGTTTAAAGTAGTATAAAATTGCGAGAGGAACATTTTTGCTTAGTCACAAAACAGGGAGTTACCCTAGTAAAATTTTGAGATATTAGCAATTTTATGATAGGGGGCACAAGTGCATGGGGCACTGACTAGTCCAGTCCTTTCGAATTTATCAAACGTAAAAAATAAAATTAATATATTTGTTCGCTATCGATCATTAGTATTTTTTAAATGCAAATTTGCTTGTCGACCAATACATCCTTTCATTCTATATTAGTTTTACATTCGTTGGCATTGAAAGTCCAAGGTTTACAATATTGCCACTATGTAATAAGTTTATTCGAATGAATTATTTGAAGTTTACATTTTAATGGATGACCTTTTAATTGGTCAACACATCTTCGCAATAATTACATTTTTGGCGAGGTGTTGTTTATCAGGTTCAGCAACTTTTGTAAGGTTTAAACAGACTTAGGGCGTTCTCAAGCGCCTCAATTAATGGATCAAAGTATGTCAAAAATAAGTCGGAAATTAAATTTTAATTAACGGAAAGTAATTTTCATCGATCAATCGAGCTTGTCATTAAGATGAGTAAGGTAGTTTATTACGTTAAAAAAATTTTTTAAATAATAAAAAATGATAATTGAGTTTGCCATTTCAGTCAAACAACTTTTCGTCCCTAACCACCCTTTTTTTTGCCCTGACTTATAAAAACTTTATTATAAATATTAAAATGAATAAAGTATTTTCAAGTGTTTTGATACTTTTATTATGCATTTTCATTATCGACTTATATTTTTTGTAAATTTTCAATAAACCATTTAGAATCTTAACTTGTGATTGAAATCTTTATTTTAACAATTACAATTATTAAAAAATCATAGTAATAGCAATGTTTGAGTATATCTCAAGAATGTCGTCATTCGTATTATTGACCTTTATCCAAAATGTTATGGCAACAGCTAAAATTACGTCATAATACTTGTGCACTATTTCGATCACTATGAAATCACATTTCGATTGATGCTTGAGAACACCCTTATATTGAAGAGGAACTTCCACGAACATGAGAAGAATTTTCTTATTCGATTTTTTTTTTTTGAATAATACATTTAAGTTACGCAGTCGAATATAATTACGTCATAATGTATTAAACCATTTTTTTAACAAATTTAAATCAAACAAACATGATTTTTAAGATCATGTTTTAAAACATTTGCCATCCCTACTTCTGATAATACAATAATAATATTTATTTAAAAGTTTAAGAAATGAAAAAAAAATACCAATGATAGAGGAAAAAAAAAAAAACTAATTTAACAACCAATAAAAAACTAATTTAAATATTATTTCGTTAAAATATATTTAATAGATTTTTTTTTTCTTTTTAACAAGAACTTTATCTATATTCCATATAAACTACAACTCTTTTTCCTCTCCTGAATATTGCAGTTTTTGAATAAATTTCTGATCCTTTTTTTTAGCATAAAATTGATTATAATTAGAATTTCTTTCACATGCTTTTTCATTTATTGGAGAATTATCAGAAGGACGAATAATATTAGTATTATTTGATAGGATAATTGATTTTCCTTCAGAAGCGAATTCTACATTAGGTACTATATATGGCTTTTTTTCCCAACCACTTGAGAAATGTGAACTTACAATAGATGCTAATGCTTGAGCTGTAAAAGCAAATGATGCTCCAGCAGTAACAATACCACCAATTGCTCTCCCTGATATCACTGTTCCTCCTTGCACTGCTGTTTCACAAACACCATTAAACACCATCAATGCAGTACTTCCTGCAACTCCGAAAGCACGTGCTGGCTCACTAATACCATTAGTAGATTCTGTAGATTGGGTATTAAGTTCTTTGTAGCCTCTAAGTCCAGGCAATACTTTTTCACTAAGATATATCCCGCGATATGTATGTCCATTTCTTCCTCCAGAGCCTGGCGATCCTCTTTTTCCATTTATACCATCTTTGCCTTCCCTTTTAAGAACAACAGGTTTTTCAACTAATGAGTCATAATTAGCAAACATTACGGAACCAGTATTTCCTTTATATCCACCTTTTCCTCCTTGACCACCATTCCCTCCTTTTTGGCCTTTATCACATGCTTCATATGTTTCTAAATACATATCATTTAACAAAATAGTACGCTTAAGAAGATTTGCAGTCGCTGCGGAATCAGAATTTCCTTTAATCGACAACATAGTAGGATTAAAAAGGTTTGCAATTTTTTGTCTACTATCACCTGAAAGTTTTAGTCTCGAAGCTAGTACTTTTTCCAATCTTTCTTCTACAAAAGTTTTTACATGATCAGAGCCGCTTAGCCCCTTGGCTCCATCTCCACCATCTTGTCCTTGACCACCATTTCCACCGCTAACATTAATAGTTAATGAAGAGAGATCAAAAAAGTAATTTCCTATAGCATAAAAATGTCCTCCATTGTGACCAGGTAATCCAGGTAAACCATTTTCTCCATTCATTTCTTTACTTGCCTCTTTTTCTTTATTAATATTTTCAACTTCAATCTTTGCACCTCTTTGATCAGTCTTTCCATTTTTTGCTTTACTTGTCTTATGTGAAGGGCCAGAAAGACCTTGCAAGTTAATTCGTCTTTTACCTATAACATACCACCGAGGAGATATAAATGACAAATTAACCCCTGGCGCAATTATATCCTCATCAATAAATAAACTATTTAGGCAATATACGTTTATTTCAGAAAATCTTTGATAATTGCTAACAGAAATAAGGTCTTCAGTGCCAATAATGATGCCTTTAATAGTTAACACTTGCCCTTGTTTGCACTCTTTTTTAGAAGGCAAAGTCGTTAGTGTGTTTATATCTTGAATGGGTTTAGATATCAAAGAACACAAACTATCTGTATTGCCCTGAAACTCAAGTGATTTTGGCTTAACAAGTTTAATAAAGTTTAATTGAGATATTTTCTTTGAAATTTCTTCTTTGATATCATTTTTTTGTAAATGTTCAGTGATTGAAACAATCCGGCAAAGATCATCTTCAAAACGATGAGGATCTTTAAATATAATCTCCAATTTATCAGAAAGTTCCGTTAGAAACTTTCTTAATTCTTTAATTGTACCTCTATGTTTGTCTATAAGTTCTTCAAGGTAGTTCTGAATTTTCAGACAAAACTTTAATATTAATTTTTCTATGTCGATATGAAACTTTTTTATTAGATCTCTGATAAAAAGCTCTGATTCAGATATAGTATAGATATTTGGCTCTGGGTCTTTAATATAAGACGTATTCCTTATTGTTTCCAAGATAGAATTTTTATCATCATCAGAAATCGGTCCTTCTCTATTGGGAGCGTTGAAAAAGGCAATTTGATTGTCGTGAGAGGATAAAAATTCGAGTATTGTTCTTTGTGATGAACTGAAATTTGTTTGGTTTTCTCTCTCTTTAATAAGTTCATCTAAAATTTCTGTCATTGCTTTAGAATCAAGATCTTTATTTTTTGTCACCAATAGGCATAACCCTTGGACTAAATCATCATTATTTTTAAAAATTTCGCCTACGTTTTTAATTAGATTTAAAAACTTTTTTTTACTCTCTTCTTGAATTGTATTTTCAGAAACGACAACTAAAATCTTTAATTTTTTTACACATTTTGCTAACATATAAATTGAATAAGCATTTACAATATCCTGAATAGAGCTACGTGTATCTCCAAAACCAGGACAATCCCAGTACTCTCCATGCTTTGAAGGTAAGGAAGTTTGTGAAACAGATCCGGCACTAATCTTCGCACCGTTTGGGGAGTCATTAGCATAAATTTTAAATCTACCAGCACTTCTTTTACCGAACAATGGAATTCCGATTAAATAGTTTAATATAGTGCTTTTTCCTTCTCTTGTTTCGCCAATAATAATAATTGCCTCCTCTTGTTGGCAAATCCTCAAATCTATCTCTTCAATATATTGCTTAAATTTTTCAACATTGCAATCATTTTCTGACGACATTGATAACAAATATAATAGTATTATGATTATAAACTTATCAAACTTGTAGGAAGTTTTTCTTTCCTTTGAAATGTATTGCCTGATACACTGGCAATCATAAGTAGTGCAACAAAAAAAAAATTTCACTTACATCATACTACCTCCCGCAATTCCGGGCAT